TCGTATTGGGTTTTGTGGGATTTCACATGTCTTAAATCTTCTAGTTTTGTTTACAATTTGTACGATATAGCATAGATGAATTAGACAAATATTTCATGATTGGAACAGGGAAATACACTCATATTTTAAACATCAACCCAAGCCATTTTTGTAATATTCTGGTTATAGTTAAATATCAAGTGGTTAAATTCCTTGTATTAAGTTATGCATATTGTACACAGGTACACCACAGCACGAACATGGTGACAACACCACCAATTTCTAGAATATAAGGAAATGACATGACATGGATATGGATTTGGGAGTAAGAAAATATACATATATTTATTAACTTTTAATTAAAAACTAATTTGCATTAAAGTTCTTCAAAAATGGATACAATTCACTTCTAAAAAGGAAAAAAAAGGAAATTGTTAATACAAAGTTTCAAGGTTATTTTATAATTGTTTTGGATATTTAGAGCAAATTGATCCAACGGTATTCTTATAAGCTCAAAAACTTTTACTTAATAAAGTCTTAAGATCATCTAACCAAACACCCATTTGATCCCCAACCCCATAAACTCAAATTCCATCAATTTTCTGCTCGTAGTGCTTCACTTGTCTTTTAGGTTAATGATAAGACAAATGATTAATGATCCTTGGCAAAACTTATAATTTTTTATTTTTCCCCCGCTAAGGTTTAGTGCACAAGAGGATGAAGATGATGCTCCTCCAAAAACTTTGCTTAGGAGAACAACAATTGGAAATGGTTCGGTTTGTTTCCTTTTGTCTTCTAGTTTTCACTATTTCGCTCAATTATCAGAATCTCAACATTTCTATAAAATGTCAGGTCCTCCCGATTCAATATTGGACTGGACACAGGAATTTGACACAGAACTATCAAATCAAAATGCTAACAACCAAGCATTTTCTAGAAAACATTGGCGCCTCCTTCAATGCCAAAACGGTTAGTTTTTTCATTGATTATTCCACTTTGGCTTTAAAGTTAAGTCCAACTCAAAAAGTAATATGTAGGGGAAGGCTATTTAATTACCTCAATACTACAGTGGAATTGATGGATCCTTCTGAATACTATCATTTTCTTTGATATGGCAGGACTTCGCATTTTTGAAGAGCTTCTTGAAGTTGATTACCTTGTATGGCAGTGTTGTTTCATTTCTTGCTTTGTGCCTTGTATTTATATATATATATATTTTTTCAGTGCATAAACATGTTTTGGGTGTAAATGATCACTTATGTTTTCTTTATATAGCCAAGGAGCTGTAGTAGGGCGATGAAGGCAGTAGGTGTTGTGGAAGCTTCGTGTGAGGAAATATTTGGTCTTGTAATGAGCATGGATGGAACTCGATTTGAGTAGGTTTCCTTTTCAATTAAATATTTAAGTTATAGTTTTCTTCAATGCATGAAACAAAAGTACTTAGCTTTGTCTATCCACACAATTTGTGAGACCTTTTACTTTTACGTAGTTTGTGTGCTATCCATATTTCATATTTATAGTATTTGCCTTTCTACAGGTGGGATTGTAGTTTTCAGTACGGTAGTTTAGTTGAGGAGGTGGATGGACATATGGCTATAATTTATCACAGGCTTCAGTTGGACTGGTTTACTATGTAATATTTTCTCTCCTATTTAAATCATTTATGTTTATGATTCATTGTATTTTCTCTCCCTTTTAGCATGTTTCTTTGTTTTAATACAAACTTTGATTGTTGAGAATATATTTTATCCAGTCAATGCATTCAGAAAATCGCAGAAAGGGACATGATAGGTCCAGTACGCTGGATGTGTGTAAGCATCAAAAGAAATGAGAAAAGATGAAATTTAACTATATCAATAAAATACAAGGAAAAAACAGAAATACCGACCAAGTGAGAACCAAAATAAGAAAAAAGATCGAGTGTTGAGAGCTGAGGATGTGCTGGTTTGTTTACAAGAATTGTTGCATTATGGGTGTTTCCCCGCTATCTTTGGTATTTTGCAGAAATATTGGCTTAGTAATCTAGTATGGGGTGTCAATAAGATTAGTGAAGACTTGATGGTTTTTCCATATAAAATTAATTCTTCGTGGTATGATTACTTACACACACATAAGTACGTTTAACTTTTTGTTTCTAGAAGACAAAGTAGGGTTTTAAATTTTTCTTTACTATTAGGGGAGTGAGCCACCTACTGTTGTTATCCGAGGTTTATTATAACATTGTTCCCTAGTTGAGGGTTGCTTATGCAACCTTGTAGAATATTTCTAAATATTATTCTTCAGTTTCCAAAAGATTTTTCCCCTTCTTAATTCATGAAGTATGGAAACTTTTCTAGTTTATGGATCCATTTTTTGCAGGTTTGTCTGGCCCCGTGACCTTTGTTATGTGCGTTATTGGCGCCGAAATGATGATGGCAGTTATGGTAAACCTTTTTAGATTTGCTTATTTATTGATCTTCATGCTTATTTTTCTGGCTTCTGAAATTCTCCCTTTTTCTTGTTTTTGTTATTTTTGCAGTTGTATTATTTCGTTCTAGGGAGCATGAGAATTGCGGCCCACAACCAGGATATGTGCGGGCTCATGTGGAGAGTAAGCTCTATGTGAATGGTTGTGTTGAGACTCAAAAGATGAGTGTCTGATTTGATTCTAATTTTCTTAGGTGGAGGGTTCAACATTTCCCCTCTGAAATCTCGAAATGGGAAGCCTAGAACACAGGTGCAGCATCTCATGCAGATTGATTTAAAAGGATGGGGTGTGAATTGTATTTCATCATTTCAGCAACACTGTCTTCTTCAGATGTTAAATAGTGTTGCTGGTGAGATTTTTTCTTCTCTATTTTGCATGTAATTTTTTTTAATTCATTACTTCAATCAATGTAAAGAAAAAGGGAAAATCTTGTTTTTATTGTGATATTTCTCACTCCTGTCCAAGTGAACAGCCTGAAGAAGAAAATAGAAATATTGGTTCAAGAGGATGTTAAGAAAATTCCATTCCTATCTTGTTCGTTCCAGTTTCAGTCTCTCCATTCATCTACCTCTTTGAAGATTGTTGTTTACCTCTTATGACAGGATTGCGTGAATGGTTTGCCCAAACAGATGAAAGAGGTGCACCTCCTAGAATCCCAGTTATGGTCAATATGGCTTCAGCTTCAGCTCCCTTGAAGAAAACTCAAAAGACAGATGAGTTATCTGTTCCCCTTGTTGCTTCTCTTGATCAAATGAATGCTGCAAGCCGTAACTCTTTGTTGATGGATGAATACTCTGATGAGGATGAAGAACAAATGCTTGAAGCAGAACAAGAGGTTTTGTTGCCACGATCTTTATAAAATTTCTGTTTAACTCGTACCTAACTACCTATGGATTTCTTATTTCCCTTAAATTTTCAGGCATATCCTACTAAAAGTGATTATGATGTCAAGAGAACAGGTGGGTCCTAATAATGTTACATTGGTTTGTTTGTTTTATGTGATTGGATAAGATTTTTTAACTTATAGACTGACTTCTTATCTCAAATATACAATATATTTTATGAATTAAAGCCCTGGAAGAACCGGTTGAGAGAATTGATTTGTCATGCTTTTCTGGTAATCTACGGCGTGATGACCGTGATAATTCTCGTGACTGCTGGAGAATATCGGATGGTAACAATTTCAGTGTTCGTAGCAAGCATTTTTGTTACAACAAAACAAAGGTTAGCGTTCTTGCGCTTATTTCTTCTGGTTACTATTTTTACATCCAAATTGATATCTGAAGTCTTGGTTATGTTATCATTTCGCCCTGTATGCAATGAAGATTCCTGCGGGAAAGCATTTAATGGATCTTGTTGCTGTTGATTGGTTTAAAGACACAAAAAGAATAGATCATGTTGCCAGACGTCAAGGCTGTGCTGCACATGTGAGTCTTTTGCCTATTTAATGTTTGTATCTGGTTGGTATATTAAGTGATTTCAGCTGCACTTGATAGGCATGGTTTCTCAATTCTGCAATGTTGTCCAAACCTTTACTAGTAGTCATGATGAACATTTTATTACACATGGAATCTGGTTGCTCTGGAACTGGTTGGTTCACTTATATTACCTTGCTTTGCTAACTCCAAAAGCTACATAGTAGTTATTCAAATTGGATTCTGGTATGCAAGTTGCATATCATACTTGTTAGGTTAATCGATTAGGTTGCAAAATCATTCCTTTTCCCACCCAATTTACTTGCTAAGACTTCAACCTAGGGCATCAAACTTCTGTAATAGTATATTGAGAATAGAACCCATAAAGTTTATACATAATCACATTCTTGATTAGATAAATTATACCCAACATTCTGTACAAGCTAAACATGGTACCTTTTTTTAATGGAAACAATGAAGGATAAACTTGATCCAGTTGATTTAGTAAAAGGAGCTTCAAATTAGGTTAATGTGGTTACATTATTACTGTGAACATGATACCTTTTTTTCTTGGGGAAAAATGGAACAAGTAGGGAATCATTTAACTTACAAAACCATGTTTTTCCCTGACCAAGTTTCTTTGGTTGGTTGTGTTTGATCAAAACTGATGGTTCACCTGTATTTCTTGTAAGACCCTAAGCATTTACTGCTTAAAGTTTTCTTGTGTTGTCACCGGCAACTATATTGATGTAGGAAATCCATTAATTCCATTATGGAGTATATTTTATAGTCTTTGATTCCTTATTGCTTTTTTCTTCGTAGGTTGCTTCAGAGAAGGGGCTCTTCTCTTTGGTCTTTAACGTTCAAGTAAGTTTTCTAATGCAGGTGATATTTTATCTTAGAGTGATGGTAATGTTGAGTGGATAATGTTGAATTTGTTTCAGGTTCCTGGCTCAACACACTATAGTATGGTATTCTATTTTGTGACAAGGGAATTAGTACCCGGATCTCTTTTGCAGCGATTTGTTGATGGTGATGATGAGTTTCGCAATAGTAGGCTGAAACTTATTCCATCAGTACCAAAGGTATCTTTCTTCATTAGTTTGATAAATGTTTAAATCATGGTGATTGAGTCGGTTGGTAGCAGTCCTCATTTTAATTGTGCTTCCATAATTCTTGTCTTTCAATTGTTGTCTATTAGGCTTCTACAATTTTTCATTGTAGAACCAATTAGTACTTTGGACCAAAGAGCTCTTGTACTTTAGGAACACTAAGATTGCTTTTGGGAACTTGAATTTTAATAAAATTGACTTGTAAAGTTAGTGTAAGTTGTGTAAAAAATGCTTGCAAATCTAACCTTCTTAGTTATTTTCAAATTTATGGATTTATTGTGCCTATTTATTTGTGAATTTGAACTTCATCTTCTTATCCCTTTCAAATATATACTTGTAACTAATTTATACTTGGTGTGTGCATTTCATTCTCACAATTTATATAGCAAACGAAATCCAAATCCGCTCTCTCAAATTCATGTTCCCAGACCTCGCATAAATGAAAGCTATGAATCCAGATTTACCTGGGTTCTCGGTCATGTTATCCATATGTTTTCAAGCTTTTTGTTTCCTCTATATATGGAAGCATGTATATATACACGTTAAAAGGCATAACAAGGCACATTATTCGTATTATATATGTTTTTTCTTTATCAAAGTTATGAAGCTGTGTTCATCCCAACCACAAAAGATTTGCCTTTGGTGTACCATACTTGAAAGCATGTATTAGAAATTTGTTGCTGGAGCTTTTTCTATTATGTTATATCGTAAGTTTAGTCTTATTTATTAATTATTATACATATGGATAAATGGTTAGGATTATTAGTTATCTTTAGGGTTGAAATCTAGGGCTAGGATTAAAACTTTATTTCTATCCTTTGTATAAATAAGCTGTAAAATATTTACAGCCACAACTTCATTGTTATTTTCTTTGAATTAATAGAGAAACTAGAGGTTTTTATTGCATCCGTTTTCTAGAGTTCCATCTTCTTTCTTATTGTTTGTTCAACCCTAATTCTATTGATTTACTGTAGTTTTCCCCTAAACTACATCAATTTTGGTATTAGTGCCTAATTAGATCCTAGGGTTTATATTAGGATTTGCTTTTAAGCTACGGTTGAATGTGTTGGAGGTTGAGGAACGGGAAATCAGGGTCAAGAAACAGAATTGGCTTCACTACAATTTAAGTTTGAAGAATTGCCAAGTTCAATTTATGCTTGGTTGCGACAGGGGCAAGTGGGAACCCAGATGGAGATTCTGAAAGGTTCCCACAACCCGTTCAACATACCAGAAAAGTAGCCTGGCTGAGAAATTGGATTTTGGTGAGAATGAAAACCCCTTTCATGATGTTGGACCCGTAAATTGTGGTTCAAGGTGCATTGGAGGAGCAGTTGGTGCATGCCTTTGAATTAAATGAATGTTGAATCAGCGACGGAACCACGTCTGGTGTGGGAGAGGCAATAACTCGCCCAACGTTTATGGTTTAATTGTATTTTAAGTCCCTGGAACTTTTGAAACCATTAAAATCAAGCCCTAGCCCCAACTTTTCTAGTTTAATTACTTTTCGGACCTGTCAGTTTGAAATTAGTGAAATTGTGCCCTAACCCGTAATTTTTTGGTTTAATCACCTTTTAGGACTCTTGTTAGTTTCAAAGTTAAGCAACTTTGCCCCTCCCGTAGTTCCATCCTGGTTTTGTCCCTGGGTTGAATTAATGTTGAATTTGCTGATTTTCCTGGTCTAGTACTTTTTTCTCTGAGACAGCACTTATGTGTTTTTTAGTAATCTTTGCTCAAACAGTGCTTCAACTCGAATGCTTTCTTGCTCCATTTTCTTTAGTCTGGTGTCATGGTTTTGGAGATGGCCTGAAAGTCAAGATTGGAGTATTTTTTTCCTATGATTGTTCTCACTTGTCAGGGTCTTGGAAAATGTTGCTCAACCTAAGTTTCAGCAAAAGATGATAGCTCTTCTTCAGTAGAAACTCTTTTTTTTTCCCATTCACAGACCTTGGTAATATTTTTGTCAACTATGATTGTGATGTCAATTCTTCAAAAGCATATTCGAAAGAATGGTCAATGGATTGCTACACCAGGAAGCAACCATGAAACTTGAAGCTATGAAGTGCTTAGTGGATATTTTAAAATCAGTGGGAAACTGGATGAACAGACAGTTGCACAATCTGGATCCTTATTCTTCTTATGGATTTGAAACTGTTCAAAACATTCCTGAAGTTGGAAGTATCCCCATGGCAATTGTGAAAGGGGATGAGCCTGCTGAAGGATCAGATTCTCGTTCTGAAGCCTCTAATGAAGCTTCTGATATTCCAAAAGAAGAAAGTTCGAAACCATCTGTTTCTGATGTTGACACAAAAAAGTGAAAAACAATGGATTTCTTGTGGTTAAAGATAGCGACAGTAATGGTGTTGAGGTTCATTATATGGAATTAGTTTGAAAAGTGTTTTTTGATATGTTTAATGCTGGTTTGCAATCCACTGTTTCGGTTGATCTTTGTATGAAGGTTCTGGACTATTAAATAAAATTAAGGTACTCTTTTCCCCCTTCCACTACTTATTGGCTACCTTTAGGTGGGCCTAGAAGTATGAAGGGGTTTTTTTAACGAGACCTACTATTCCTATCAAAAGAAAAAAAGTTATAAGTGTTCTTTTAGTTGATGCAGTCTGTCTTAGGCTTTCAGCTTTATTACTATTTGCATTAATGTATTTGCCCCATCATAAATGTGAATGTGGGAAATGTTTATGGTTAATTGTTGCTGAGAAAAGAATGTAAGGGTGGGTCAGTCATTGCCTTAATACTATTTCTAACTTTGCTCCTTCAAAACTTGTTCTTAAATCGTTGGCATTGAATTTTGCAGGGATCATGGATTGTGCGGCAGAGTGTTGGTAGCACACCTTGTTTGTTGGGTAAAGCAGTTGATTGCAATTATATTCGTGGTCCCAAGTACTTAGAAGTAAGCATTGTTATGATTTTTTTACTACTTCAATGTAGCATTAATTGTAGGTCATTTTTTTTAACTCGACATGATAATAAGTGGAGCTGCAAATGCTTGTTACTGATATGGGGTTTTTGTTTCTTTCACTCTGTAGGTTGATATTGACATAGGCTCTTCGACGGTTGCTAATGGAGTTTTGGGGCTTGTCATTGGTGTAATTAAGACATTGGTGGTTGACATGGCTTTCCTTGTACAGGTATGGGTCTTCTAGAACACCATTTATCTCAAATCTCTATTGAAAAAATATATGCTTTTATTATTGATTGCCGGGCAAAGAGATTTAATAGGAAGCAGCATAAGCTGAAGCATTCAGTGTTGCAGTGCACATTGCATTCGTTATTAATGGCATGCAGGGGCAATGAACAGATCATAATAACATGAAGTGTCATGCTGGTGTCATAGGGCTGCCTGCCAAGGGCATTGCCCATTTTTTGACTTCAGGATTTTTTTTTCACTTTTGTTGTATGTATGTTGGCTTGAAAGTGGTTGCACGTTCTCTTTCTCCCCACAGGCAAATACGACAGATGAGCTGCCGGAGCGGTTAATTGGTGCAGTTCGTGTTTCTCATATCGAGCTATCATCTGCCATATTTCCGAAGCTCGAAGTGGACACATCATGATTGTTCTGGAAACAGCTGATTTTATATGAATCATTTGTTCTGATATATTCATATATCATTTGCATTTTATATGAAAGGAAAACGGAATTATAATGTCGGCAAAGTTTGTTTATACTTTTCTTTGGTTGTCTATCTGTTAAGAGATCGATCCAAAAATACTCTGGGAACAAAATGGAAAGATCATCAAAAGTATAAGAAGGATGATGAGATTGCTAATGCCATCATTTTATATTCTCTACCAAATCTTTAGGCCATTCTTTTCTTAGTTGGACTAGTTGATACATTTTGCCTTTTAGGCAAGACTTATATCTTCAAATCCTTGGGGGAACTTGATTCATGTTGCTTGTCGAGTTTTACACATGTATTTCATCTCAATTGGATTAAGTAAATCGATTTAGAACTAAAGACTATTATTACCGATAGTCGTATTCGTTACCGAGTCGGGCTTCTACCTTGCATATTCTCTTTAATGAGTTCCTTAAGTTATTAACATTATTAAGCAAGACACTTGACTAAGTTGCCAATACTCCTAAATGACTCGTATGAAGCTAGAAGAGGCCACTGTTATTTCCTGAAATAACTGTTCTCTTTGAGAAAAGAAATTTGATTTATCGAACTTTTTCACTGTCATATTTACATCATGCTATGGCGGATTGGTATGTGCAGTGATGCGATTCTCAAATATCAAGCAGAAGGGAGAATATCCAAGGCAACTTCCTTGAGGGATGGCATTGCTTCCTGCTGATCCACAAAAAAGTACTCATTGCCCGCCCTTTTAAGCACTCTCCAAGGTCCTGGATAGCATCTATTTCAAAACCCAACAAAACTTGTTCAATTTAGGTGTGAAAAAAAAGTAAAACTCAGAAAATTCAGCAAGAAAATAGAAGTTATGAAGCAAACCTGAAGAGAGTCCCTCCATTTCGTCCCTTGAAGTTGTGTATGTAGTATACGGTCTACACCATGGGCAGGAGGGATTTGGTCAGTGCTGCCAGCTTAGGATAGAAGAAGGATGGATAATCTTGGCTCATTCAAGAGCAACTATTCAAACTATGGGTGATTATATTGAATTCAAAAACCCATAATGACAAAATTAACATCCGATAATGACAAAATTAGTGTTCGATGTTTATATAAATGGTCATTTTGCTCCCTATTATTTTTTTTGGAGTATTTTAACCCCAACATTTTAATTTTTTTGGAGTATTTTAACATTTCAATTCCTATTTTTTGGAGTATTTTAACCTCCAAAATTTCAATTTTTTTTGATCTAAATATCCCATGTTAGATGAAAATCATTAGTTTAATTAATGATCAAGGCATGTTGATATCATGACATTTTCACATATGTTTAATAATGTCGTGACATGTGTTACGTCACTTAAAATAAAGACGTGATATGTGATATATATCATGCCATTCAAAATGAGGGTTGGTACGGGATGGAGCGAGCCAATTTTTTGACTACCTTGACCCCGACTTGAAAATATATTCTCTAAACGGACCCTGACCCGATCTAAATATATTAATATTTTAAAATAATTAAAAAAAATATTTATAAATATTTATTATATTTTAAATTATTAAAATAATATATTTTAATAATATAAAAATAAAAATCTCTATAATTTTAAATATATTATATATAAAAAAGATAAAATAATAATTTATATCGGATTGGTCGGATTATTTTTTTACCTTAAACCCGATCTCGCCCTAACCCGACCCGAAATTATATACCATATAACTCCTTTTTCCCGCTAGGATCCCGAAATTAAAAAAAAAACTCCCTAGGATAGGTCGGGACTCGTCAAGTTCGAGTATTTTAACCGTCCCTACAAAATGATGACTTAATATGTGTTGTCACATAAAGTGAAAATGTGATAAGTTCCCCATCATCAATTCAACACATATGAAAATCAATAACATATTTTAACCAAAAATTAAAATGTTAGATCCCAAAATACTAAAAAGAAAAAAAAAGGGATAAAACGTTCATTTATATGTTTCACCGAAGGGAGGATACACCCAGATCTGATACGGTCGAGTTCTCCATTGAATATAATCAGTTTCCTGTTGATGTTCATTACAGCTTCCTTGTAAAGCTCTTCCACCACAATCATTTCTGCATAATGCATAGCCGTACCATACATAAGCTTCATGGAACTACTCATCAAAAAAACCAAACATGGGGTGTTCAAACCTACCGTTAACGTTAAAATACGGATAACCGACGACGAACAGTTCATCGTCTGGCTTTACCCTGTCTGCCATTTTCACCTTCTCACCGAAACCGAAATCCTCGAAGAACGATGGTTTCGTTAGGTAGTCGAGTTTGAAATAAGCCCCTTCGAACACTTGTCTTGCAAATTTAACTTCGTTTGCCTCCGGAAAAAACTGAAAACTTACAAGCAGAGGTTCATACACAAACCATGAGCTATAAATATCAAAGTATACTGATAACTAGTACAAACAAAGGGTCTTCTACTAACATGATCCAATGTCGTACTAACTTTGGTATTGACACTTACTATTCTGGTTCGTGTAGCTTTCTCCGGAGTTACTAAAATGTCGCAAAATTCGCAATCAACTGCATACTTTCGGTCGTTTCAATCCCACCTTCGCCGTCACCTAATGGTGTGTTTCGCATATAATGAGAAGAAACAGAAGGGAAAAAGAAGAGACAACAGAGGGTGAAAAGAACCTGGCACAGATCCAAGTCCAGCTGTTGGGAATTCAATCTCCTGTCACAGATACAATTGTATGTATGTCACAAACCATACAGGGAATTGTTCAATTATTACAGTTTGCAGCGATCTCACCATCAACTGTTTTCCATCCTTCAAAGCCAACTCAGTTGCCCTTTTTGCCTGTCATTTTACACATGTTGTCCAAAGGAATTATAAAAGTTCATGACTGGCTTTGTGAATGAATGTTCAGTACAATTAGACTATAAACACAAAATACATCCGTACATTTAGTCACGATGACTTACTTGTCTAAGAAGGACGTCGTAATCACCGGGGGAACGGCGTATCGTATCCGGTCGACGTTTTCCCCTCCTCAGAAACCGAACGACTGATAAACTTTAGATTCCTCGAAGAACCTAAAATTAGGGGAAACCTGATTTTCCCTTTTGTGATAGCTTCTGCTTCAGTCCAATGGCTTCTGCAGTGAAAAACCTACAGTTCGGTACAAATTCAACTGACCATTATGCAAGAAATGCAGATGATTGAGGACAAAATATCAATTTATCAAAAGTCCACTAGATTTTCAGACATATTCAACTATTCTGTGAACGCCATTAGGACCAGAAGTTTTAAGTGTTCCAATAAACTACTTCAAACGGTAATCAATTGAACATTTACTGTAAGAAGAAACAATTGACGGTGAAAAGAGATGAAGGGTTGGTTTAATCACCATCCACTGGTGTGCTGAAGACACTGCAAAACCAGGAGCTGAAAGCAGCATCTCTTTTTGCCTTTCCAACCACAACCACCGTTGCGTTCGTTGTAAAATCAGTCGCAAACTTTTATTTAATTTTAATTTTTGTTTATTATCCTCATCGCTGCACTGCTCTCTATCTCTGACGTGGTGTGTTTCCTAACACACACACCACTTCTTTTCTATTTTTCCATTCCTTTAATTTAAGCCCTTACCTCGGAATATTTATTTCCGAATGTTCATTGTTAAACGATTAAAAGTTTTTTAAATAATCAGTAGAGATTAGTTAAGTAATAAATAATTTGATATCGCTTAAACAAGGTCTTGAGTTTGAGTTCTTGTGAATGTAGAAAATCTTTTATGGGAGACTC